TCTGACAAATAGAAACATCCATTTCAAATGGATTCCGCGAAAGTTTCTCTTGTTGTAGGCATCGAACGGCAACGCAACAGGGTTTTTTGTGCTCTTCAAAGCCATCTCTACACACCTGCAACGTAAGAGCGATTTCACTTGCAATGTCTGATTCGTCATGCGAGGTCGGCGGGATGCGCTGTGGAGCGTGAGTGATGACGTATGATTGGACATAAATAATTTTAAATCTGACCAATAAAGCGCATCGAATTCAGATCCAATAACCTGACACCACCCACACCTCATCTAACCACCCCTTTTTCATATCCAAGTATCGAAAGAGCGATTCTTTAGCCACCGTTCGCGATGTTGCTAGCGTCTCGAAGCCACTACGTTAAAACATCTTCAAAAAAAGCGAGCCCAACACGCGATTGATTGAGCTCGAGTACAGTCGCAGACGCAAAGCCGTCGACCACAAGAGCTGCGAACTTGTGCACAAGGGCGCCTCGTCAAGTTTTTTACGGACTCTCGTGTTTTGTGCTGTATGTATAGAGCACGACGCAGGGAGTCCGAAATCCAAGAATGGTGCTCGTCGCGTGCCCACAGCGCGTGCCATGCACAGCTTTAGTCGATGCAAGACCATTTGATACATTGATACATTGATACGGTCTCTATACCTGTAGATGTTGCCGCGCGGGTGTCGCAACGCGAACAGCTTCCCTTCTGCAATCTGTTTGGCGCACTTCTGGTACATGTACGTGCTTTCCAAAGTCTCGTCGTCGCAGTGGTGGATGCGTGCACTACGATGGGTCCAGCCCATGCAAGTGCTATTACGACCTGCCAAAAGCCTCCCGCTCCGACGCTCTGGTCGTCTCTCCTTCGCAGCAATAGGCTTGCAAATCACTGCTTTGGGACTGCAAACGCGAGCTCGACGCTAGAGCTTTTGCCGACGAGCCAATTTGCCGCGTACAAGGTCGTTGCTCATGTCCATTGCTAGCGGTCGCAACGAAAACGCCACGTTATCAAGGGTTAGGTATACACGAGCCGTCGCACGCTCAAGTTCAAAGGATCTGTGACGTAGAGCGCGCCAGACGCGTCGATATAAATGTACTGGGGATAGTTGAACGCGGCGGAGCTGCCCGCGCCGTCGACGTTGCCGAAGACGCCGGGTGTACCCGCGATCGTGATGACGTCATCATTCGTATCGATCGCGCGGATGCAATGGTTATGGGTGTCGACCACAAACACAATACCATCAGAGTCGGCCACAATACCATGGGGTTCGTTGAAGGCGGCACTCGCACCGTGGCCGTCGGCGTGGCCCGCCGTACTACTGCCAATGTCTGTGGCACTGCCGTCGAGACCAATCTTGCGCACGAGGTTGCCGTCCGTGATATACACCAGACCCGACGGCGCCTCTGCAACCCCAAGCGGAACGTTGTAGGTTGGTATCGATGCTGGACCGACGGCCCCAGGCCCCGAGAACGTTGAGACAGTGCCGGCGCTGATCGACCGTACTTTGGCGTTGTTCGTGTCGGCGACAAGGACGCGGTTGGTGCCAACGGCGATGCCCATTGGTCCATGAAACGTGGCGGCGCTGACACTTCCGTCAGCACTGCCCGTGGCACCGGTACCAGCCAAGGTTGCGACGACACCTCTCGCGTCCACCGTGCGCACAGCGTTGTTACCGGCGTCGGCCACGAGCAGCGTTCCGTCGGAAGCGAGCGCGAGGCCGCCAATGTACAAAAAGCGTGCGCTTGCGTTGACGCCGTTGAGAAACCCCGTCGAACTTGCCGAGCCTGCCAACGGCGTCAGTTTATTGCTGGCGAGATCGATGCGCATGATGGAACTTGAACTGTCGGCGACGAACAGTGAATATGCGTCACCAGTGATGCCCTTGAGCGAGGTAAAATTGGTGATGACGCCATTGCCTACAAACGTTGACACGGTGTACGATCGGTTGGCGACCGGTGGCGGTGTCGGCGCAGGAGACGGTGCAGGCATCGGCGTGGGTGTCGGCACAGTCGGCGTAGTGGGCGTCGGCGCGTTCGAGGTTGATGTCGCTTCGTTCGACGACGGGATGAACGCAACGCAGAGTCCAATGATGCAAATAAGAGCAGCGACCAATAGCCCAAGGCCATAGAGCCTCTTGCGACGCTGTCGTCTTGGCGCTGCACTGTCCTCCCCAGTGCTGACGTCGTCCAAGATGTAAGCCGTTCGTGTTTGGGTCTGCTGGACCATTGCACCGAGTGTGGCGACGACACTGGCGATCGATTTTCGCTCCGAGAGTGGCAGACAAGTCAAGCCATTGGCCAGCGTCCAGAGATCCACGGGCATCGTCTCGGGCCTGCGGTCACTGAGATCCATTTTCGCGTCGACCAAACCACGGTAGGCTTCGATCAGACAACTGCCAAACGCACACACATCGGCGGTCTGCGCATCGGCCAGACGCATCTTGTCCTCGATCTGGAGGTCACGGGGGGCACTCAGGCTGGCCTTATAGCCGCCACCGATCGCATCGCAGACACCAACCGTTGCACATGACACGTCACCGTGAAACAAACCTTGGTCGTGCGTCGACGCGAGGTCTTTGGCGGCATCGAGGAGCAGCTGGAGTCGCATTGGCGGTGACACTTGAACGAGCCGGAGAAAGACGCGCAGCGAGCCATACTCAGCGTTCCTTATGTTGCTTGGCTGGTGCTTGGGGGGAACCAATGCGTGGGAGGTAAGTAGGTCGACGCTCACGCAATCGGGCGCTGCCACGAGGCGACCGGACGCGGGGTCGCCGGGAGCGTCGCCGGTCGCCAGTGTATCGGCAGTGGACATCACAGCCAAACGACAGGGTGGGTGCAGTGTACGTGCGCACTGCAAGTGTAAGTCATGTATTCAAAAGAATGATTCACCTCGAAATAGAAACTCGTGGAGCTTTTGGAGTTGGGTATTTTCGGCCTCTGATTTTGATATTTACTGTATCAACTTTGGAGGTCGAGAAGATCGGCCTCTTTGGTATGTCCCATTATTTTGTACGCATGTCCTTGCTGTGCCGCTCTTGAGGTTGTGAGCATTAACATTAGACAACGTGACATATCACACTCTGCATCACCCGTCCTTTATAAAATACAAACATGCAATTGTGTAGGTTATATAACTTGTTCTAGTCGCTGCCTTGAAGGAGCTCAAACCACTGCCGCAGCGCGTTGCATAGCGTTTCGGGCAACAGCGTCGTGTCCTTCATGATGACGTAATACGGGAACGGGAAGTTGTCCATGTAGGGCGTCATCTCGACCTTGCCGCGCACAAACGAGACGCTCTGCGTGTCGCAAATGCCTTGGCCGTCCTTGGGGTGGTCGACGATCAACAGCACAATCAGCTGCTGCTTCTCCATCGCGTGCTGGACCAGCTTTTGCATGCGCGTGCGGCCGTCCTTGTCGAAGCGGCCGTCGGAAATCATGAAGACGATCTGCGTGATCTCGCTCCCGCTGTGGTGGCTCGACGCCTTGGCCTGGTCCAAGAGCCCCACGATGGCCTCGAGCGTCTGGACCATGTGCGTCTTGGTCTGGTCAAACTGGAACGACCGAATGACGCGGCCACCGGCGTCGTCCGTGAACGGCATATCGAACGGATGCAAGAGCTCGACGGCAGCGCCAAACTTGACGACTGAAATGTCACCGACTTCGAGCTGCGTCATACCCTTGCAGAGCGTCGTGAGCGCCTCCAGCGCGAGCCGACCGGCGTGGTTGTCGGCCATCGATTCCGAGTCGTCGATCGCCACCATGACTTGGTACGCGCGCTTGCTCGGCTTCGTGCGCCGCAGCCAGATCTTGTCCTTCCGGAACGACGAAGCAATGTACGGGATGACCTTGCGCATGTTGATGCGCTTCCCCGTGCGGTAGTCGCCCTGGAGACGCGACCGGAGCATCGGCGCCAGCACGAGACGCAGCTGCTCGCAGAGACGCTGGGCGCCCGCACGCGTAATGTGGTCATACGTGTTCCAGAGCGCCGTGCCGCGCTCGATCGAGTCGACGGTAGGACACGACATGGCCGCGTCCAACTGCACTCGGAGCGCGTCGACGTCAAAGCTCGTGGTAGCGTCAAGGCCGCTTTCGCCGCCAGCGCCGGCACCGGACGCGACGACCGGCGCAAACTCGTCGACTTCTTCGTCGATGCGGCGTTCAAAGTCGTTGCGGACGTCGTCGTCGTCGACGCCCATGTCGTCATCGACGTCCTCGTCAATGAGCTCTTCGGCCTTGAGACCTTGCTCCTTGGCCTTCTGCATCTTGTCTTGCGGGGCCTTGGGCGCCTTCTCTTCGTCCTGGGTCTCGGTCGGCTTGTCGTCGACGACCGGGGTTTCTTCGGGCGCCGGCGTCTCGTCGTCGTCCATGGGCTCGTCGGGCTTGTCGCCGTCCTTGTCCTCGTCGTCGTCGGCGCCGTGCATGACCGTGTCTTCGGTCGGTGCGAGGGCCAACTCGGCCTTCTCGTCGTCGTCCGCGAGCTCGCCGACACCGCCGTCGTCCTTTGTATCGTCGTCGGCGCCGTCGTCGTCGTTCTCATCCGCGTTTTGGTCCTTGGTCGCGTCCGAGTCGAGGATCTCCATGCGCTTGCGCCAATGTTCCTGCGCCTTGCGCGGGTTTTGGTACGGGTTGGGGTCCTTGCGCTCGCGCGACTGCGGGTCCGCCGACGCATCGCTGTGCACCGACTGCAGATCCTTTCCTTCCGGGTTGGCTTGGCCGCCCTGGCGATCTTGGTTCTGCTCGGCCGAGTCTTCCGCGTCCGCCATGTCCTCGTCGGCCTTTTCTTGGTCGTCTTCCTTGGCTTCTTCGGGCTCCATCGTGTCGGCGCCGTCCTTGGACTCGAGGCCCGCGACCGCGCCGGCGTTCTGGCTCTCGTCCTTCTTCTCCTCTGGCATGATCTCTTCGGGCACTTCCTCTTCCAGCTTGGACTCGTCGTCCTTTTGCTCGTCGGGGACGTCCTGATCGTCCATACCGGCGCCCATCGAGACGGGCTCGGGCGCCTCCGCATCCTCTTCGTCGTCCTTGGCCTCGTCGTCTTCGGGCGCAGCCGACTCGTCCTCGGCACCCTCGCCTTCAGGCGACTCGTCGTTCGGCATCTCTTCGTCGATTTGCTCGTCGTCGTCCTTGTCCTTGTCGTCGTCGTCACCGTCACCATCGAGCTTCATGTCTTCTGCAAACTCTTCTTCCTCGGGCTTGGACTCTTCGTCGTCAGGGTTGGCGTCGCGCGGCGCCAGGTCGTCGTGATCTTCCTCGTACTTGTCTTCAGTATCTTCGTTGATCTCGTCGTCGGGCATCGGACCATCCTTCTTCTCATCGTCGTCGTCACCACCGTCGTCATCGTCGTCCTTCGAGTCGTCGGCGGCGGCCGGGGGTTGCGGCGTGTCCTTCTTCTCATCCTTGTCCTTGTCATCCTTCTCATCCTCGTCTTCGTCACCGTCCTTGCCGCGGACTTCGTCTTCGAGCGCCTCGCCTTCCATTTCCTTGTCGTCAAACTTCTCCTTGTCCTTGTCAATGTTGTCGTCTTCGTCGTCCGAGTCTTCACCCCACCGCTTCTCGTCGACAATGTTGTCTTCGTCAAAGTCGCCCATTTCACGGTCGAGTTCCTCTTGGTCGTCGTCGTCGTCCTTGTCGTCGTCCTTCTGGTCGTCGTCGTCAATGTCCTCAAGCTGTCCGTCAAAGTCGTTGTTCATCTCGAGACCCGAGTCGTCCTTCTCCTTGTCCTTCTTCTCTTGGTTCTCGGGCGGCGGCTCGTCGCCCTTGAGGCCGAGCAACTGCTCTTCGTCCTCGATCTGGTCCGACACGTCCTTCTTGCCGTCGCCTTCGCCCATGCCCGTGCCTTCCACGTCATCTTCAAAGTTGAACTGACCGCCGGTCGAGTCGTCTTCCTTCTCTTCTGGCGCCTTGCAAAAGCCGTTCGAGAGCAGCGTCCGGAAGACGCGGACGATGACAAACTCGGCTTTGGACATGCTCTTGTGGACGTAGATGACGTCGGCGAGCAGCTGGTAGTGCCACTGGACAAGCGCGCTGAGCGCCGGCACGAGCGACTGCACCCAGCGCAAGCACGGCGCCACGTCCGCCGACGACGATGCATGCAAGTGCGACAGAAGCGAGAGCAGCTGCGCCGGAATCTTGTGCACTTGGCTCTGGCCCACGAGCTTGGCGAGGTGTTGGTGACACACAACCATCGAGTCCAAGTCGACCTTGTCGTCGTTGCTGGTCTCAAAGAGGCTGCACGCCTGCTGGATCGAGAGCAAAATGCTCTCGACAACCGTGTTGAAGCGGCCGCCGACTGCTTCGACGAGGTCGCGCGACTCGGTGGTTGCCGGCGCACGGTGCGAGGCCGCATCCGCCGCCCACTGCGCCTGCTCGGCGGTCAACGACGAGAGCGCATCCCGAATGCTGACGACCGACTTGGCGCTGCAGAACGCGTCCAGCTGCGCAACCACGGCCTCGCCACCCGCCGCCGACGCCAAAAGCGGCGCCGGGTCGAGCCACAAGGCGCCCGGCTGCTCGAGCAAATGCGGCGAAAAGCCCGTCGTCGTCGACGCCGTCTTGTCTTGAAAGCCAAAGCTTGTCGCCGCGTCAAAGTTGCCGTCGTCGGACGGCACTTCGGGAATGCCAGAGTGCGCGGCCACCGACGCTTTGGCGACTTGCGCGCCGCACTGCTGCAGCGCCGTGAGGAGCTGGCCGAGCACCGGGTCGTCAGCAAAGAGCAGCAACAGTTCATCGACCCATTTCGTCAGCTGGAGCAGCGTCGCGGTCTGCGCGTCGCGCCACGCCGCCAAGAAGGTCTGGGCGTGGACGAGGTCGTGGGACGCCGGAAGCGACTGCAGTTGCGCGAGGCCAAAGAGGAGACCTTCGTGCGTCGACACCATCTGTGCGAGCAGCGCGCGCTGTTGCAGCATCGTGTGCAGCATGTTCTCAGCGTACCCCGACATGCGGTCTACCTCGGACCACGAAATGTCCTTGTTGTAGCCCGACGCGACCGTGAAGCGCATCGACTGGATCTGCGAGAGGAACCGGTAGTAGTAGCTGTCGGCGTGCGCCCAGAGGCCCGCGACTCCCGACGACGTAGTCGCTACGACGTCCGGGTGCAACCGAAGCACTGTGTCGACAAACGGCACGTCGAGCTCGAGCAACGACTGCATGTGCTGCTGCTGCGGCGGCGTCTTGGTCTTGAGGTGCGAGAACCCCTGCGACTTGAGCTCGGCGAGGAGGTCGACGAGCGCCTTCTTCTTCGCACCCTTGGGGGCCGAGTCCGACTTGAGCTTCTCAATGCGGTAAATGATCGTCTCGCAGAGGTCTTCACCGACGTGGCGACCAGCCTGATTGCGGCGCAGCGCCGCATCCGTGAGGAGCTCGGTCGCCGTGTACTTTTGGATCTTGCGCGTCAGCGTCGGGAGCTGCGCGACCCAGCGGAAGTTGTCCACGGCCGCCGTCCACGCTTCGGGGAGCGCCACTGGTGCTTCCTTGGTCTTGGCCGGCATGAGCACGATGCGCCACACTTCCTTGGGCGCATCGTTTTCGTCGGCGTCGTCCTTGATGTCCATCGGGGCGTCGTCGTCGGCGTCCTTTTCCGTGTCCTTGACGAGCTCGACAGGGTCGTCGCGCGCCTTGAGGTCGTTCCACGTCGTCTGAAGCGCTTGGATGCCGTCGTACTTTTCGTTGGTGATGTTGCCGTCGACGACCTTGTCGATGAACGTCTGCATCGGCATGTTGAGAATCTCTTCGTAGTCGCGGACAAACTTCATGAGCTTGCGGTGGCTCTTCTCGGCCGACGCCGCGAGCGAGTAGTACGTCTGCTCGTCCCAGCGCGAGATCTTGATAAAGTCGTTGAGCTGCGTCTGGATCGGCGTCCGGAGCCGCGACCACAGCGGGTGGCACCCGTACGTAAGGTGCTGCGCGTAGAACCGGTACAAATGATACAAGGTCGACGCCAACCGAAGCGTCTCGAGCTTGGGCGCGTGCTGCACCTCGAGGAAGAGCTGGCCGCAGAACGCATAGAGCAGCACGAGTCGCGTCTGGAACTGGCCGACCGTGCAAGTGCGAAGGAACGCATCCATCGTGTCGAAGAGCTGGAAACGCCAGCCCTTGGCCAAGAGCTCCGTGTCCGGCATCGACGTGAGCGTGAACATCCAGTTGAGCGTTGCGACTTCGGGCACGACCGTCTCGTCACCGCTCGGCGGCGACGTCAGCAGCGTGTACAGGTGGAACCAAGCTTTGCGCGCCTCGAGCTGGAACTTGCGCTCCTTGATGAGCATGAGCTGCGGCCACGAGTAGAGCTCGAGCTTGCGCCAGCGCACGACAAGGCCGCTCAGCGACGCGATCTCGTCGGTGATTGCGACGTCCCGAGACGCAATCGCCTGCCAGTCTTGGGCGTTCTTGAGGAGGAGCTCGACACCGACAAGGATCTGCGCCAGCGGCACGTGCATCGACATTTGCCGCAGCCGGTTGGCCAGCAACAAGAGCTTTTGCAGAATCGCATTGTCGGGCCACTGCTCGAGAAGCGTCCGGACGCGGAGCATGAAGCGCTGGAGCGGCGACCGCACCATGACGACCTCCTTGACGTGCGCATCCTTGTGAAAGTCAATGCCCGCCACGTACGCCGCCGAGAGCTGCGAAAAGACCACGTTCGACGCCGGCGCCTGCTGCGCAAGCGACTGCTGCGCGTACACAATGTGGCCGCCACGCGTCGACACGTCGAGGGCCTCGTCGCGGAGGTCGTTGATCGACGCCTTGAGGTGGAACCCGACCTCGTACATGGTCTGGACCGCGGCCGCGCGCGACGTCGTGTAGCGCGTGTGCTGCGTAAAGAGGCGTTCGTGGGCAAACGAGACGAGCTGAATGACGGCGTCCGGGAGCGGCGACGCATCGATTGTCGGGTCAACGTCGGCGGGCGTCGCCACCAGCGGGTCCTCCAAGAGGTCCGAGAACGCCTTGGCAAAGTCGGGGAACTGCTGCCGGTACTCGCGCTCGAGGATTTGCTCTTCCGAGTCGATCTCGAGCGTCCGCGCTTTGAACCGGAAAAGCTGCTCGTCTTCTTCCCGCTTCTTGTCCATTTTCGCTTGGTTCTCCGTCCAGAGCGTCATGTAGCCATCAAAGATCGACTGCGCGACCGCGAGGTACGCGCCATTGGCCGCCGACTTGCGCCGGAAGAGCTGCAGCTGGTCGGTGTTTTGGAGCTCGAGCTGGTACAACGCCGTCGTCAACCGGTGCAACCGCGGCACATGGTGGGCATCGAGAACCGCACCGTGGTCCAAAAGCGCCGACGCCGTCACCGGCAAACTCGCGGGGCTCGGCACACTGAGCAGCGTGCGCGCCAAGGACGCAATCGCCGGCTTGTCCTGCGCCGTGACGACGCTCATGAGCAGCGAGAGACCGTCCTTGGCGTGGTAGATGGCTGCAACCACCGGCTCGATGACGTCGCCAAACACAACGTACTTGTGCTGCAGCCGACGCACAAAGCTCTCGGTGGTCTGCTGGAACATGATGAGCTCGCGGAGCACTTGGCTGCTCTCATTTGCGTCGATCGCGAGCGCTTCGCACCAGCCGACGACCTTGGCCGTCATGATGGTCGAGCCAAACCGGACAATCTCTTGGAAGGCCGCACCAAAGAGCGCATCGTCGCACGGCCGCGCGATCGCCTTGTCGGTAAGCGCATCGACCTTGGCGATCGAGACGTCGACGTTCTCGGCCACGTACGCCTGCGGCGACTGCGCCTGGAGCACCGTGTCGACCGTGTTACGGCACGAAGCCCGCGCAATCTGCTGCAAAAGCACGTCGCGCTTGATGAGCGGCAATAACGCCGGGTCGAGCGGCGACGTCGGCGTCAAGAGGCCAAAGCGCCAGAGACCCAGAAGCGTCCACTGCACACCCTGCTGGCGCATCGACCCGCGTGGGAGACGCGCCGAGAGCACAAGACACGCCTTGAGAATCGGGAGCGACGCCACAAACCGAGCGTCTTTTGACGTCGCAAGCAGCGCCAGAAGATCGGTTGCGTCGCCACTTGCCGCGTAGACCGCCAGCGCGTCGTGCGCGTGAGGCACAAACACAAGCACCGTTGCGGACAGCAAATGCCACCAGTACGCGCCGCTGGTCGCGTCCAGGTCCGGGCACTCGTGGTGCTCGAGCCAGTGGGCGACCGCCTGCTGGAGCTTGGCGGTCGCAGCCGTCACGTCGACGATCGGCGTTTGCTTGAGCGGCTGGAGGTAGTGCAGCGCAAGCGTCGTTTCGACCGCCTGGTGCAGCCGCAAAAGACCGCCCGTCGAGGTCAGGGCCGCCTCTTGGCTCTCGGTGTGGTACACGCGGTTCGAGATCTTGTCGGCGTGCACGATACTGCTGTTCCAGAGGCGGTCGTGGAACGAGACGTAGATCGACTGCATGTGCTTGGTCACGACCCGCTTGAACTCGGCGTGGTCGTCGAGCGTCAGCGCCTTGCTGTTGTCGAGGTACACATGGCCGCGCCAGAGCACATCTTGGTACGGCACGAGCGTCACCGGCGACCGCGTCGGCACGTAGCGCTGCAGCGGCAGCCACTTGTCGATGCAGGCGAGGACCACCGGCACTTTGGTTGCAAACGACGCCAGCGGCGCCACGAGCAACTCGGACAAGTTTGCCACAATCTGGTGCTCGAGACGGAGATACAAGAGCTCCCGGAGCGGGCTCAACTGCAGCTGGATCCACATCTCCACCACCTTGCTGTTGTCGTCCGCGAGTAGCAGCACCGTCTTGGTCTCACCGCGGTCCATGTCGTCGTCGGGCGGCGTCAAATGCACGAGCATGTGCTTGTGCTCGGCGGCAAACTTGGCCTGCATCGCATCGTACGACGTGGACAGCGTCTTGGGCAGCTGCTGCAGCGTCGCAAACGACTGGTTGGCCGTCTCGATGAACCACGTGTACGTCGTGAGCGCGTGGAGGAGCTCTTGGCGGAATGCATGCGGCACCGAGAGGAGGCTGGACGGCGTAAACTCGTACACCGACGACGTCGTGCAAAGCATATCGAGCAGCGACACTTGCTGCTGGTGACCGGCGGCGGTGAGCGGCCCAGTCGCGGTCGCGGCGAGGCCCTCGACGGCCGAGATGGCCGACCACGTCGTGAGCGACGGTGGCAGCTGCCGGTGGCCGCCGCGCTTCCACAGCGCGTCCTTGGAGCGGGCAACGCCCATGCAGGTAGTAATACCAAACTCCATGCGCTCGAGCATGTCCTTGGCGTGTACGACCGCGGTGGAGAGCGTGAGCACATGCGTCTCGAGGTCGTTGAAGCCCTTGACGAGCCACTTCCACACCACCAAGAACGGGTGCCACGGAAACACAGGGGACGCAGTCGAGAAGACGCGGCCAAGCGCGTACCGGAGGTCAATCACCTTGGCGACGGCAGCCACGTGGCGCGCCGAGAGCACCTTGTACATGCTGAGCTGGACGAATTCGTCGAGAACCGCATCGAGCGCGTGCAAGGTCGGAAAGACAATCGGGATGAGATCGTTCTCGACGTCGACCGACTCGGCGCCGTGGAGGAAGCACTCGTACGACACGTTGAGGAGCGTCGCTGCCGCCTTCTTATTCGTCTTTTTGAGCGCCCGCTTGGTCTTCTTGGCCGTCGTCGTCACTTCAGTCGTTGCGAGACCCAAGAGCACCTGCTCTTGGAACCGAGGCCACCACATGTGTTGCAGCTACAAACACCAAATGCAGATGAGATCAGCGGGAGCGGCGAAGCGCGTACCATCTCGAGCGACTGTACAAGGGCGTCCACCGGTTGCCACTGCGTCTCAACGCTCGCCGCGTCCGACACCGCCTGCAGCAGCGCCGTCTTGAGCACGTGCAACGCCGGCGGGTTCGCAACAAGCGACGAGAGGTGCGGGGCCGCCACGGCCGCGCACGTCGCAATGGCTGACGACAGGCCGTTGAGAATCGACTGCAAAAGCACTTCCGACCCGAGCCACGTGCCAAACGGGTGCGAGCATTGGGCGTGGAAGCCCGACGGTTGGCCGCTGCGGTACAGCGCCCACGGAAGAAGCTCCGTCGTCATGGCAGCAGTCGCATCCTGCAGACCGGCCGTCGCGCACTGCGTCCAAACGGCTTCGTCGTTCAAGAGCAAATGGCGCGGCCATTTGTCCGACACCGTCGCCGTCGTCCAGAGCTGCACCCATTCGATGAGCTGGCTCGGCGACGACGCCAGGTGCAATGGGAGGCGCGCATCACGCGCAGCCATGCCACCGACAGCGTCCTGCACAAGCATCTGCGTCGAGACGGCGGCCGTGCCGGCGTCGACACCGAGTTCCACCGTGCCAAACGTTGAGCCGTACACATCCTGCGTCGCAAGCTCGAGCGCCTCGGCGAACGCGGCGCCGTGGTCGAGGAGCGCCTGCACGAGCTGGCTCCAGTTGACCGCGTGGCGCATCGAAATCGACTTGTCGAGGCTCGCCTTGTCGTAGTGCACAGCGTGGAGGCGGTCGTAGACAGCGACGGGGTAGGCCACCGACGTGGCTGCGCCCTGGATAAGCGACACAAAGTCCATCTTGGGGCTGCTGGCCATGTCGTTCGGGACGAGCGCGACTTCAATGCAGCGGTTGCGCATGGCGCGGGACACTTCGCCAAACTGCGCGTCCATCGCGAGGAAGATGCGAAAGTTCTTGTGGGGCTTGACGACGCGGAGGTTGCCGTTGACAACACCACACTCGTTGACGAGCAATTCGCCGTTGATCTCGAGGAGCGAGTTGAGACGGTCGAGCACCGACGCCGAGCAAAAGTTGACATTGTCCAAAAGCAGCCAGTCGCCGAGCTCCATGGCCCGCAGAAGCGCGCCGTCGACCCACTCGAAGCAGCTGCTGCGCGCCGGCGACGCCACGAGCGTCCGAATGCTCGTCAACTGCGCGTGAATCGACGCGATGCTGTCCACCGACGGCGCGTGCGGCGAGAGCACCGACACGACGTGGTCCAACAGATCCAACTGCATCGGGTCCATCTCGCCCTTGTGCGCCTTCCTACAGAAGCAAAGACCCATGAGATACAGAGGAATACGTAAAGACTGGCGTACCACGCGGCTTGGCGCTGGTGCACCGCGGCCACGGCTTGCGTCACGGCGTTGAACTCGGCCGTCTTGGCGTCGAGCAGCAGCTTTTGCTGGACAACAGCCACCACGTCGCTGAGCTCGCGCATCGCTTCTTGCACGCGGCGCTGAACGTCAACTTGTTCGAAACAGCCGAGGAGCTCGGTCGCGTCCGTGCCCGTGCTGAGCCCCAGTTCGTGCAGCTTGCGACCCGTCATGGCCGCGAGAAGACGCACGATCGCGGTTTTGCCCGACCCCGACGGACCGACGAGCAGCGCCGGCCACTGCAAGTGCAAGCAATGCATGAGCGCTTGCATGGGCTCGAGCCACTGGTTGAGAAGCGGCGGGAGCGCATCGAGGTTGGGCAGCACAGCGTGCACGCGCGGCAAGATCGCCGTCCCGACCTGGAGGTACGTGGGCGTGAGTTGAAACACCGGCGGCGCCGGCGCCGACGGCCCAAACGCGGCCACGCGCTTGGCCTCAATGATCGCACGGTCCGCGGTCGAGCGGAAGCGCGACCCATACAGCATCGGGATGAACGCCGAGACGTCGTAGGGCGGCGCCTGGAACTTGTCAACGAGCGTGCACCAGCGAAAGACGTCGCGGAGGTTGAACTCCCAAGGGGCACCGTGACGGCCAAACGAGCACGCGACCATCGTCTCATGGTGGACTTGGCTGTTGAACGCAATCATCTTGTGCACGTCGTTCGCCGGGATCGACGGGTACAAGGCCGTCGCAATCACGCGCAGATCCGTCTCGTGCAGCGAGTCGACGACGACGCGCGTGAAGCGATTCAAGAACGACTTGGGCAGACCCTTGCGACCGCCGCCTTGGCGCAGCGGGTTCTGCGCCGCAAAGACGCGGAACGACTTGGGACACACAAAGCTCTGGTCGATCTCGGGGATGTAGACGGTCCCACGATGATCGAGACACGCGTTGAGACCTTCGAGCACCGACTGCGACGCCAAGTTGAGTTCATCGAGCAGCACCCAGTGCCCGGCTTTCAATGCCCGAAGGAAGACACCGTCGCACCACGAGAACGGCGACGACGCGTTGGCGTCCGTCGACGGCAAGTCCGACCCAAAGAGATCGGCCACGTCCGTCTGTTCCGAGAGGTTGATGCGCACGAGCGTGTGGCCCGAGAGCTGCGCGAGCGCGTGGATGAGCGACGTCTTGCCGACGCCCGGGCTGCCTTCGAGCAAAATTGGCCGCGGCACTTGGAGCGCACGGAGCACGCGGTGGAGGTTGCCAAGCGTCGTGGGGGCCGCAAGCGAGAAGGGCTGCGGCGTCACCGGCTCGGGGCCCTTGGCAATCATAAACGGGGCGACACCGCAGATCGCACCTTCGTCGACCCAGTCCATCGACACCTGTGCCATAAGCGCGCTCGGGAGCGCCGCCGAGAGCATTTCGTAGGCTGTCGCTCGCGCCGTCGTCGCCGCATGCAACGACTGCGTCGATCCCAGGCCGAGACCGTCGAGGACTGCGAGGGCCGCGCCTTGCACGTACGCAAGTGCCGGGTCGAGGTCCGACGCGTTCACAAAGTCGAGCCACGAGAGAAGATCACGGAGCGTCACCTTCCAGCCGTTGGACGCAAACTTGGCGTTGAACTGCTGCACAAACGTGAGCACCGGGTCCGCGAGGTGCGCCGACGGCCCCGGCAGCCGGTCGCGAATCACGATCTGGAGGTCGTCGAGGCGCGAGAGGCTCGGCACCCAAATCTCGGTAAAGCGGTTCCGGAGCGCCGGCGAGAGCTCGCGCTTGCCAAAGTCCCCGCCCGGGTTCATCGTCGCCAGGATGCGCCACGGTTCCGCCGCCGTAATGTGCTCGGCCGTGTCGCCCTTCTCGGCGAGCACGAGGCCGCGCGAAGGCTCCAGCACCGAGTTGAGACGTTCGAGGACCGCGTCGTCGGCCAAGTTGATCTCGTCGACGAGCAGCAAGTCGCCGGCCTTCATCGAGCTCACAAGCGGACCGTCCACCCACTCAAAGAGCGCAACGGCCTTGGCCTTCAAGCTCTGGATCGTCGCGTGCAGCTCCAGGAGCGTCGTATCCTCCGCGTTGAGCGCGAGCACCTTGGGCAAGAGGCTGTCCAGAAGGCCGCCGATCGTCGCCAAGTTCAAGTCGGCGCGGAGCACCGACGTGTCGAGCGTGTCAGGGTAGCTCGCCGAGACATGCGCATCGAGCTGCGCGAGCGCGGCCGTGAGCTGTCGCAGCACCTGCTCTTTCGCGCGCACCGGCCGGAGGCTACCAAGAAAGTCGGCTGTCTCCGTGTGCTGGTGGCAGTTGAGAATGTGCAACGTCTGGTCAAACAAGAGCGAGTAGAGCTGGCACACGGTCGTCTTGCCACAGCCCGTATCACCGACCAGCAAGATCGGTTCCTTGTGCTGCAGACACCGGCCAACAAGCGCAAAGAGCCGGCGCAACGACGACGTGATCGAGATGGACGACAGCCCGCTGTGATTGCCCTTGGCGTCGACGTCACTGAGCTTGGCTTGCACTTGAGCAAACTGCTCGGGCGTACCCCACACCGTCGCCGGCGTATCACCGATCACGTTCGTCGGGACCGCCACGCCATTGTAGAGCGCGTCCAAGTCGATCGTGACACCACAGCGCTTCTCGAGCACCTGCTGGACGACGAGCTTGTCTTCGTCCTTCCGGAGGCGCTCGGCGAGGAGAAAATACCCTTCTTCGGCCACGCGCTGCTTGGTCGTCGGCGCGCGCTGCGCCCAGCGGAGAAGGTCGCGCGTCGTGATGAAGCCGGCCTTGCCCGCAAAGACACTCGACTGCGCGCGGACGCGCTGGAGGTCGAGCATGATCTCGATGAGGAGGTTGCAGTAGCTCGGCGGGAGGGCGCTGCGCTCTTGCAAAATCATCTGGAGCTCGTTCGCCGGCACTTCGTCGACTTGGAGCTCGATGAAGCGGTTCCGGAAGGCGCGCGAGAGCACCTTGCGACCGCCGTACAAGCCCGGCGGGTTCTGCGTCGCAAACAGCATGAAGCGCGGGTGCGGCGTGATCGTCGTCTGCGTCTCTGGCACGTAAAGCTCGCGGTTGTCGTCGAGGAGGCGGTTGAGCGCTTCGAGGACTTCGGACGGCGCGAGGTTGAGCTCATCGAGGATGATCCACCAGCCATGACGCACCGCCTGCACGAGGACGCCCTCCTGGAACGTGAGCTTGCCGTCGGCGTCCGACACGTACGCGCCCAGGTACTCTTGAATGTCTGTGTGCTCGTGGTTGTTAATGCGTACACACTTTTGCCCAAGGCGCGCAGCCACATACAAGATGAGCGACGTTTTCCCGGCCGACGTCGGGCCTTGCAGCAGCAGCGGGTACTTGCCAATGACGACGGACCGCGCGACGTGCCGGAGGTTTTGCTCGACGCTCGGCGTCAGCACAAACTTCTTGAGGTTCGTGACCGGGTCGGGAATCGCGTCGTCGACCGGCGTCAGCTCGCCCTTTGGCACCCAGTACGAGCTCACGAGCTCGAACGTGTCGCCCGACTTGCGGGGCTTGGGCGGCGCCTGGTCGAGCTCCTTGGTCTTGATGTTGGGCGCAAACGTCTTCTTGATCGTCTTCATCATGATGGTCCGCGACATGGCATCGAGCTGCGTCGCAAAGCCCATCGAGAAGCTTTCGTACAAGGCGCGCGGGAGGCTGTAGCCGCGCTGGAGCATCGTCTTGGTCATGAGCAGCGACCGTGTCAGCGTGCGGAGCGAGTACCGTGGCCGTTGGCGCGCGCCGTCGTTGAGCACGTCGATCGCCATTTGACGCGCACTGAGGTAGAACACGACGGTCTCGGCGACCGGCGCGTTGACCATCTCCTTCCACTGCTGCGAAACGAGCAGCGTCAAGTCGCGCGGGCAGACGCACTCGTCCACGTACACTTGGGTGAACCGGTTGCGGAGCGAGGGTGGGAGGTCCTTCTTGCCCACGTCGGTCGGCGGGTTCATGGCCGCAAAGACGCGGAAGTTCGGGTGCGGCTTGAGCACGTCGACGTCGCCGCGCTCGGTGAGCGACAAGCCCGAGTGCTCGCCTTCGAGGACGCTTGCGAGCCGCTCCAACGTGTCGGCGCCGGCCAAGTTGATTTCATCAAGGAGGATCCAGTGGCCGGCCTTCATCGCCTGCACGAGCATGCCCTCGACGAACGAGAACGCAAAGCTCGACTCGACTTGCTGGTACTGGCGCTGAAATTTGGCGAGCGCGCTCCCAAACTGCGCCCACGTGAGCGCACTCTGGTCGAGCTTCATCTTCTTGGCCTTGGCATCGGCCATCGCAATCGCCTTGGTCATGCCTTGCGTCATTTTCTTGTACTGCTTGGCCGCGAACGCTTTTTGAATCGCATGCAAGAACGACGCGTTCGCAGACGATGGAAACGTCGATGAGAAGAGGTTGACAAAGTCCATGTACAGCGGCCGCGCCAGCTGGTAGACATCGACGGGCTTGTAGCCGCCGAGCAGGTCTGCGCTGTCGCTCTGCACGTTGAGGTTTTGCACGACGAGCGTCTGGCCCATCGCCGACGCAAGGTACTGGATCAGCGTGGTCTTGCCACAACCGGTTTCACCGACGAGCAAGGTCGGCTCGAACGTCGAGACGGTCGCTGCGAGCTGCTCCATGAGCCGCAGACAATGGCCCGTGAGCACAAACGGAATCTGGTGGCCGGTGCTCGACGACTGCGACAGCGCCTGCAGCTGGACACGGCCGACGGTCACCGACGCGTGGTGCGGCACAAAGTTGGGCCGGTGGTCGCGCAGCTGCGTCTCGACGACCTCGGGCTGCACCTGCCAGAGGCCACCGATCGAGGTCGCAGCGGCAATGCGAGCGTCCATGTCGCGAATGCCCATGCAAAAGATGTCCCACGCCTCGCGCGCCAAGTCGTCCCGCATGGCCTGCGTGAGGTACTGCCCGGGCTCAATGTGGCCGTGGAGCTTCATGACGCGCGTGCACCACTTGAGCACGTCCCGGAGCGAGAAGCCGCGCCCGTAGCTCTGACGCGCCGCGCGCCAGATCGCCGAGCTCTCGTCCGTCACGAGCGTAAATGTACCGAGAATGAGATCCGTCACGTGCGCCGGGAGCTGCGGAAACTGCTTGGCAACGACGAGCGCGATCTCGTCCATGTGCATCGGCACCACGGGAATGCGGTGCCAGAGCGAGAGCGGGAAGCCTTTTGGCATGGCCGAGATCGGCTTGCGGCTCGTCGCGAGCAACTGGAAGCCGGGCGCCGCCGGCACGCGGTGGCCACGCACGAGCAGCTCCTGCGTCGTCAGCAGCGGCAGAAGCGCCGCCAGCACGTCCATGGACGCGCGGTCAATGTCTTCGATGAGCACCCACCGGCCTTCGGTCACGGCCTGCGTCAACGCGCCCGGCTGCCACGTAAACTCGCCAGGGACGTCCGTGCACACGTACGACCCGAGCAGCGTCTTGCTGTCCATTTGATCGTCCAGGTGCAGCTCGACGAGGTCGCTATGGCCCGTGCGCTGTGCGAGCTCGCGCAGAATCGCCGTCTTACCAGCGCCGTCCGCGCCCGAAACCAAAAGCGGGCGGCGCAAGCTCAGCGCAATGGCAAGCGACCGCAGCCCCGCCACCGTCGACGGCGTCTCGACGAGCGCCGGGTACGCGCTTTGGTGTTTCGTCGCGCGGAAGGGCACAAGGATGCCGCAAATGTCGGTCAGCGTCGGTGGCAGCGGCGCACCCGAGACCTGGTGCGTGGTCGTCTGCGTCAGGTGCATCGTCGGTCGGGGGCTCGAAACGCTCTCGATATGCGCCAAGAACACGTCGCGCGTCGCATTGTCCATACGCAGAAGCAGGCTCGTCGCACGCATGGCCTCGGCGCGCACAAGTTGATCGGCGTCGGCGCACAAGGCGTAGAATGGCGCCCAGTTCCACATGCTCAGGATCGTGTCGAGCTGCACTGACGCGAGAAGGCGCGCGGTGGTCGCGGCGCGGCGCTTGCGGCTGATCGACATGGTCTCAATGTGGTGGAAGAAGCACCGGCTCGTCTCGAGCCACGGCTGCACGAGCGGCCAAATGCGCGGCGTGACCTGCAGCACGCGCGCAAACGTGAGCGAGAGGCGCTCGTGCTTGTTGTCGTCAAAGTCGTTCATCGTAAGGAGGCGCGCGGCGAGCTCGAGCAGGAACGGGCGGAACGCAGCGCAGATGGCGTCGCAGAGCGTCGCGTCGTCGGCCGCGAGAAGGCGCGCAAGGCTGTGGAGGGTAGAGGTGGCGTCGTTGGCGGCGGCGAGCGCCGACCGCACTGAGGTCGTCACGGCGGGCGACAGCGCAGCATGGTCGAGCTGCGTAAGGAAGCCAACGACCGCTTCGCCAAGATCGGCCATATCTTGAACTTGCGTGGTCCAGTAGCGGATTCGAACCAAACCAATCAACGCCCAACGCCATTTGATTGGTCCCGCCACATCCGGATACTACATCCGGATGTCGACGCCGAAACCGTGCGAAACCGGCCACGACGAGAAAGGACTCTAGCGCCCTTGCGCTCCGCAACTAAATCCCATATAAAACTAAATCTCATACTAGTATAAAACTAAATCTCATATAATAATCGTTCTCCTCAGGGCGAGGAGCAACCGAGTGAGCACCATGAGCCTTACATTCATTGGAGCCAGGAGGTTCGAGCCCAATGGCGCCAGGTGGCAGAGGTGTCGACGCGCCTGGGTGCGAGGCTGCTTCACCGTAGAGAGCTCGACAACAAACTCAACACGTCGACGCTGACGACTTGTCCGCGTCGCTAGAAAGACTTGCTATATAATAGTGTTGGGGTACTAGTATTGTACTGGGGGGTCCAGTGGATGAATGGCGGGGGTTCATGCGCGAGCTGATTGATCACTGTGCCTTGACCGCCCACATCTGCGGTAACAGGACGCCGTAGCGAGGCTACCAATGTCAAAAATACTCGAGTGCAATCATGTCCACCGTCTCTCTGTGGTCCGAAGCTGTACATGGGAATATCTTCGTGCCTTATGCGGGTGTTTGTAGTGTTGATGATGGTGGAATTTGCATGAGGCAGACTGTTGGTTTACTACCGGGCTAGCTACGTCTCGCCCTGCCTGTGTACGTAGCGCTACCGCACATAGACGTAGCTATGTCCAATAGTGTACACAGGTGGCTAGGTACAGGGCTCTTGGGGCTCTTCTGATTGCGAGAGCAACTCGGTCAGATCACGTACGACAGCTCTTGCGACACCAGGTCCTTGGGCGCGAAAGAAGGTACAAGCAGCACAACTAGCATTGGCACAGAGAGCATGAAGCATTACCTCTGACAAGTGTGGACCGGCCACACCACGGTTGGCGCGTGCGCCGTGTTGAATACTTGCTACGGTACCTGCATCGAGTCTGCTCCTTGCTTCAGCTTGCCCATGTATCGATAAGCGCAAACGAAATGATCGATAGAACATGCGCCGCCTGTCTTAAGCTGCACCCTTGGTGTTGATGGGGTGTTGGAAAGTGATTGAGCAGAGTTAGATCGAGCTAGCGACACCTAACCTGCTCCTTCTTTGGCTCGAGTTGACTTGGGTACACCAACTCGAGCTGAGCCTTGTTCTCTGGGAACGCGTATCGCGCTGTGGCTTCCGTTAATGGGCGGCAGCCGCGCTAGTGCTGGGTGCGTTGGCTGTTGTTTGAGAACTCGATGGAAAATGAGGAACTAAATTATACATGTTGTAAGGCTGGCAAGCTTTTCACTTTAACTTTAACCCCGAGCTTCAATGTTGAATGTTGACGTGGCTTGCTGCTTGATTCGGGCTGTTTCATTCTTGCTTGGTTTCAGATAAATACTTCCACAAAGATGTTGCTACGCCAGGTGGCAGCACCAACGCGCAATGGTCTGAGCTCAATAACGTAGTAGGAGGGTCAATAAGAAATGCATGTCTTATTGACCCTTGGATGGACGTAGCAAGCTCGTAAACCAACGCTTCGCAGTCCCTTCATACGTACACCACCCAATAAAGCTTCCGCCCAACTCAGTAGGCTGGTGTTGCCAGATTGCTGAGGCATCGCCAGAGCGCACTCACAATCGAGCGACACTCTCCATTCGAATTTGCAATTCTTATATACTCGCTTTCAAACGTTTCTTATTAGCATACATATCTAGAGTGCAATGCAAAGCGAAGACACAACATGTTATCAAACATGCTCGCTTTATTGACGACAAGACAATCACTCCGAATTGCACTTTCCAACAGAAGGAACTGCTGCAGAAGCAACTGCTGCACTGTCGACACGGTGGCACCAGTTTCCTGTTGCTAGTGTCGGCAGCTCACTTTGCAATTGACCATGTTTGGCTCGAGCTCCTCATCCAGCAGCTTCTACCCGCCGTCGCCCGCCTTTGGCCGACCCAAGTCGGCGGCAGTCACGCGCGTCGCCAGCATGACCTCCGACGCTGCCGCCCGCCGCTGGGCCAACGACAACGGCCTTGCGATCATGAACGTCTCGTGGGAAGACGCCGCGCGCAACAAGAACAGCGCGTACGGGCCGTGCATCTCGGACATGACGCTCGTCGTCGAGAACACGTGGATGCCCGTGCTGCGCGTGCCCAATTTTTCAGGTTCGTTTTCTCAATGTAGCAATCTCAACACTCAAACTCAAATTATTCGACGTAGATCCGATCATGAGCATCCCGACGAGCAAGATCATGGTGACAGTCGGGAACGAGTCGCCCCACAACGTGCCATTGACCAAGATCTCGCTCCACGAGTACCTCGACAACATCCACAAATACACGGAGCTCGAGCGCAGCTTGTACGCGCCAGCGCACGACCACCAAGCCCTCGTACGTCTCTAGGATTCCAGGGACAAAAGCACTCATCTGTACTTGCAGGTCAGCACGCAGGCGTGCTTTTTGCCCATCGAAGAGGCGACCGGCAAGGCCGAGTTCCACGTCGGTCTCACCAACTACCAAGCCCGCGAGAACGACCCTGCCGTGCTCGTCCTCGTCTGCACAGACACTGGCACGAGGTACCTCCCATCTTCGACTCGAATCAAACCGCTCACTTTTCTCTCTGACACTAGTGCCCAAGTCATGACGCAGCGCAGTGCGACCTTGTTTTGCAACAACAAGGGCAGCAAGCACACGTTCATTGCCGAGCGGCTCTCGACCGACCGCGCCAAGCGGGGCGTTGCGACCACGGGCGCCATGACGGAAGCCGAAGAGGCGCGCAACTACGTCATGATCATCCAGATCCCGCTCGAGCAAAAGCCGGTGTCGTTTGGCACTGGCGGCTTTGGCGCCTCCTCGGGTTTCAGCGGCTTTGGCGTCGCCTCCAGCACGAGTTTTGGCGGCTCGCCCGGTATGGCCTTTGGGGCCGCGCAGCAGTGCAACATGGCCGCGACCCCTTTTGCTATGCCCGCCACGTCCGCGTTTTCATTTGGTGCTCCATCGACGCCGAATGTCGAGGCAGCGATGGTCGGCCTCAGCGACGCCAAGGGTCCATTCCCGAAAATCAGTGCTTTTAGCCACGTCCGTCGCAACGCCAAGTACCCGATCCGCGTCACGGTGCAGTTTTACCAAGCGACGAGCAACGGCGTCGTCTCGGCCGCGATCCTGCAGGACCTCGCCAGCAAGATGGACCAAGTCAAGACCAACGCGACCTGGTGGGGCTCGCTCGTGACACCCGCCGCGACGCCGCCGCTGTTTGGCGCCGCCAACTCGGTCTTTAACCCCCACGCCGGCGTCAACTGCGACATGTGCCGGTCTGAGCTCACGACAAGCGTCCGCTACAAGTGTGCGTTCTGTGCCGACTATGATGTCTGCGCCAACTGCATCGAGCATGCCGACACGCAACACCCGCACCCGTTCCTGCGTCTCACCAAAGCGTCGGCAGCGTACGGCGCCAAGACGTACGCGGTCATGAACCGAGCAAACGTGTCGCACAACGTGGCGTGCTCGTCGTGCAAGGCGAACATCGTGGGCGTGCTGCACCAATGCACGCACTGCCCCAACATTCGCTTGTGCGAAGCCTGCGAGGCGACGACGGGCCATGGTGATTTTCAGCACCCGTTGATCAAGGTGTTTCAGGCCGCAGTCTAAAGCCAGTCAAAACCTAGTTCATTTACTAATCTATATAAGACCAATGGCCTTGATATGACGTTCGTTGTATTAAGGGATATAACAACAATATATCCCTTGGTTGTATGCACGTACTAGTATATTTATGACTTCTGCTTGGTTGAGATGTCCTCCTCGTCCTCGAACCCCTCGACGCCTGCATGATTGAGAGTTGCGCGCGTCATTATTTGAGGAGCTTTCCCTAGTCTTTTTTTCTGAAGAACATAAAATGAAATCCCGTTTGGTGCATTAGGATATCGCACGAGTACCGTGCCACATTACACAGAACTATCTAACGAAGGATCGATCGTCACGGGTGCAGTCATTGGACGAGCTCGTTCGTGGTCGTCAGCGTCGCGCCGGCAGAAGCAAATGCCTTGTTGTGGGCATCAATGACGGGCGACGCGTCGACGGCAACGTCATTTTCAAAGCGCCACGTCGAGTGCGCGTCGGCGACGACAGTCACGTCAAAGTCGAGACCGAGGGCCCCCAACGTCGTTGCGTTGACGCAGCAGTCGGTCTGCGCGCCGAGGAGGATGAGGCGCGAGACACCGGCGTCTCGAAGCCACTTGGCGAGTGCCGGGTTGCTAAATGCATCGGGGACGGTCTTGGAGAACGTCGGCTCGGTCGCTTCGTTTTGGCCGAGCGCCGGCCAAACGTGCCAGCCCGGTGCGCCTGGCGCCATTGCGCCTTCGTCTTCTTCGTGGCGGATAAAGGCCACGGGCAAGGCTTCGCGCCGCGCCCACGCGAGCACGTGCTTGGTGTTGTCGACGAGGCTCGTCGCGTTGTGAATCGGGACGCTCTCGACGCCGTCAAACATGATGGCTTGCAGGTCAATAACAAGGACGGCCGTCATGATGTATGATCTTAATTGGTTGTGATCGTGAGGAGGGCAATTGAAGAATGGCTGCAGTTGCATCGGACGACCTTGTGTTCCCACTTGTTCGGCTGTGGTCAGCGCGTGAGCGCGGGAGAGCAGTGTCAAACTGCTGGGCGCGAAGCATGCCTTGTGGTCCGTATCCGGATGACTGGCCTTTCCCACTTTGCCCTTGCCACACAATGCGGGATCGAGCCCACGTCCTTTAGCGCACTTGAGTGCTAACTGCAGCAGGAGGCGCTTCGATAAGAGTGAGCTCGACAGGCGCCTTGCGTGCGTAGTCTGCTGCAGGATCGAATGGCTGAAACCATGAGCTCGCAGATTCCACCACTTCGGGCGTTGTAGACAGGCGGCTTCGAACTTCGACTGGTCGTTTCGTTATCCGGAAGATCGCATTTGGCCGTGACCTTTCGCAAAATGCTCCGCGTGTGGTGGCTGCTGACCCTGCTTGGCCTCGCGCTACGCAGCGAGGGCCATACGTTCCTGCGCCACGACGATGTGTCGCTTGGTGCGAACACTACGCTCTGCGGCGAGCCCGAGGCCCACCACGCCGGCTACTTGAACGGGCTTTTTTACGTCTTTTACGAGACGCGGGCGGCGATTCGGGCGCCGACGGACGTGCCGCTCGTGCTATGGCTCTCGGGTGGACCCGGTTGCTCGGGTATGATTGCAATGCTCTTTGAGCACGGGCCATGCAGCGTCAACCAAGCGACGCCGACAACAACGCTCAACCCGTACTCGTGGACGCAGGCAGCTCATATGATCTACGTCGACCAGCCACGCGGCACGGGCATGAGCCCTTCCAGAGACGCATCGAGGTAGACATGCTTCTCTATCTAGCAGACTGCTAATGCCATCTAGTTCGTGGACAGAGTCGTCGGCGATGCGTGACTTGGTCGTTTTCCTGGAAGGCTTCTACCAGACGTATCCCGCGTACGCAGCCAACGACTTGTACATCTTTGGCGAAAGCTACGGTGGCCACTACGTGCCCGACTTGGCGCATGCGATCGTATCGTCAACCAACTCGAACACGCGAGCCCTCCGCCGCAACCTCAAGGGCATCGGCATCGGCAACGGCCTCGTCTCGGAGCGCGCGATTGCCGACACTATTGGCGCATTTGCCTCGACCGCGCCAGGCGGCAAGCTCACAGACTCGGCCGCGTCGAGCGTCGCGACGTGTGAAGCTGCTATCGCCGCCTGCCAATCGCCCGAGGACGGTGGCGTCCGCGACTGCTCCAAGGTGCATAAGCTCTCCACACCATAGCACTCATACCGTTGCAGACGGGCATTTGCGAGTCGCTCGTCGGAAGCATCTTATCGCAAGCGCACCAGCAGCAAATCAACCACTACGATATCCGAGCGCCGTGTTATCCCGACGTCTTTGGCTTGTGCTACAAGTTTACGCCGCTCTTTCAGTACATGAACAAGGCGTCGACGATGGAAGCGCTTGGTCTCAACGGCGGCGTCTCGTGGGCGCCGTGCAACCAAGACGTCTTTGAACTCCACATGGTTGGTTGGAAAATATTGTCATCGAAATTGTCTTATTGTATGCTCTAGGACGCGGATTGGTACGAAGAGAGCGAGTATCGGGTCGCAGAGCTGCTCGAGGCCGGCGTCCGCGTCCTTGTCTACGCCGGCGACTACGACTTGGTGTGCAACTGGATGGCCCAAGACAAGTACAATTTGCGTCTTGGTGGCAAAAGAAATGACATATTGTACATTGTAGGTGGACACGCGATATGGTCTGGACCCATCAGGCGCATTTTGCCGCACAGCCCTTGGCTCTGTGGTCCTACGACGGCGACGTCGTCGGCGAGCGCCGATCGTTTGGCGGGTTGACCATGCTGCGCGTCTACAACGCTGGCCACGTACACTGCGATAGCCGAATCCCAAAGACGTACATTTGATGTGTAGATGGTCCCGTTTGACCAGCCCAAGGCAGCCCTCGGTCTCTTCCGCTCGTTCCTGGCCGGCAACTAGAGCTCGTATCGGTCGAACCAACAACGCACTATCCCTTTGCGATCTTACGCAGACAATAATACATCGTCATCAGAGCAAAAGACTATGGCGTGTATGACATGCAAGATCGTAACGACCTCGACTAGGTGCTGCTAAATACACTGATCCTACATCGTCTTGAGAGGATATCTAGTTTTCTAAGACAGGTACGAGCTCCACTTTGGCGCCGTGTGTCGAGAGACGCGCCATGGGGTACAAGGCGATGCCGTCGGGTACGCCGCGGAGCTTTGTGGGCAAGAGCGACCCGTGGATCGCAAAGCCAATGCTGTGTTCGTCTGGAAACCACGTGACGTTGAGGAGCACGGTGCCTTGGACGTTGGGACTCACGCCAGCACTTGTCGGTCGCTGGAGGTGCGAGTACACGTTTCTTGTCTCGCAGTTGAAGAACCAGCCGCGCGATGCGCTGTTGGTTGCATGCGGATACGGCGTAAAAGCATCTCGTGCCAAAAACAAAAACCCGACTTCGACGCGACTGCCGAGGTGAACGTGAACCGAGAATGTTGTCGCGGGCGCCGTGGCGAGGACGTTGCCCCACCCGGATTTCGTCTGCCGCGCTTTAGTTTGCATCGCGAGGAGCTCGATCGACTCGGAGCAATGGACCGGATCCCACGCGAGAGGCGTCACCTCGGGTGCTGACGGCTCAGGGAGCACGTCAAGTTGTAGGTAGTCGATCATCTCTTGTAGCTCAACCAGTTGCCGAGTCGAGAGCCCGCTCTGGTCGAGCGCGCCCGTGCGCAGTAGCTTCATCACCCGTGGAAACAAATCTGGGTCCAAGTCTAAAAAGTACTCGCCTACCGAGATTCGTTGTATGTACCAATTGCCATGATGAGAAAGAGGGTCGACTACCTTTGTCGTTGGGGCGCCAGTGATCGGACGAGAGCATCGCGTCAAAGTAGCTGCCGGGAATGCGCAGCAGCGTCTCGCGCACGGTCGTAAACAGCGTGCCGCCGACGTTGAGCGTGACGAGCTTGTCGTCTTTGACGCGGACAGGCTGCAACGCAAGTATCTCGGTCTTGAGCTCTTGTAGCAAGTCGAGTTTGGCTTGGACGCGCGCCGCCTGGAGCTGCAGCGCCGCGTCCTTTCGAGCAAAGTCCCGCACGAGAACTTCCATCTCGAGCGCAATGGCGTGTAGCGCGTCGACATTGGCAGGTGCCTCGATGGCTGCCTTCAGCGACGCCTGCAGCGATGCCCACGTTGCCTTCACGTTGCTCTCGACCATCGGAAGCGGGCGTATGACACTGGGACACGTGCTGTTGTCGGTGGCAATGTCCGGATATACTGACGCATATCCGGATATGACGTGGCATGCGGAGAGCGCTTTTTTCAACGAGAAAACGGTCTTCACTTTGCACATTGGGTACGGCACAGTGAGGTTGTATTACAATGTAACTCTGGCTAGCAACAGCAATACGAATGTCATAGTCTTTTTCATGTACTGCAATCGGTCGCAGGAGAGACCTGGGCATTCGAAAGGTGTTCCCATCGTATCAGAACACGTCTCTCCCTCCATGCGGTTCAGATCTTATATCAAGTAAGTCAATAGCAGCGTCTGTGAAATAGCAGCGTCGTTGGATGTCCGCGCCAAGGTTCGTGTATTCTGCAAGCCTCCAACGACAAGACATTGTACCTAGGCAAAGATTCATGTCGTTTACTGCATCTCAATCTCTCTATCTCATTACACTTGTCATTACACTACGCTACCAGACTGCGGCCTCAAACACCTTGATCAACGGGTGCTGAAAATCACCATGGCCCGTCGTCGCCTCGCAGGCTTCGCACAAGCGAATGTTGGGGCAGTGCGTGCATTGGTGCAGCACGCCCACGATGTTCGCCTTGCACGACGAGCACGCCACGTTGTGCGACACGTTTGCTCGGTTCATGACCGC